GCTGTCGCCTCGAGCTCAAGCTCATTGTCACAACTCGCGAAGAATTACAATCGAATTGAATAACTACAATTTTTAATTACAGCTATAGTAGACTCTAGATTACAATGTTGCGGGATAATCCAAAATTCCAAACGCTCCGGTGTTCTTTCATCTCCGACATATATATATGTACAAGATGTTTTTATTTATCTATTTATCTATTTATTTAGTTATATATTATTGCTATTATACTTATATCTGGATTGGCTGTTTTTGATGACGACCTGGTGAGTTTAGTGGATACGTTCGGAAGGTAAAATGGTTAAGCTGTTGACGACTTGGCGATTTCCATGGACTTAAAACTTTAAAACAATATGGACAGGTTAAACAAGAATAATAAACTTACGGCGCAGGGGGTTTCGGAGCCCCCAGGCCCCGTCGGGAACACGAGTGGCTTTCCAGGCTCGATCCGACGGTCATCAAGCTACTGGAAGAACGGCGGGCGGGAGGTGGAATCCCAGGCATCCTCTCGTACGGTAAAAGCGACTGGGTAGAAGGTGGGAAGAAGAAAGCTGGCATTAGGAGGAGAGAAACCGAGGAAGGTTGCAGATATAAAGTTAAGTGACAAAGTCACAATTTCAGTGATACCGAGAGCTAAAGGGAAGGAAGAAGGTGACGCGTTTAGACCAAGTAAAAAAATACAAAGGAGTCCTACGACTGGTGGCAGGGCTGATGTCGAAGTGGTCGAGGAATCGGAAGGTTCCTATCGAATCAGAGATAGCGAGCACAGCACGCCAGTGGTAGTGAGAGGAGGAGCACCCGTCAAACAATTGGCTAGAAAGGTAATAGATGAAAGCAGCAGGACGAGACGGGCAAGGGCGGCTATGGTAAGCGAAATAGATAATAGCGCCAGGGATGATACACAGACCAGTGATGTAGACGAGGAAGAAGTAATGATATAAAGGGCGGAACTGAAAGGGTTCACGCAAGCCCTAGCTGGCGCTGTCCAGATGCTTAATGTTGTGGTGAGAAAATTCAAGCTGGACAAAGACAAAGATGAAGGGATCAGAGAGATCGGTAACTTAATAAAGGGTATGCTATCGTCCCTGGAACAGTGTGGAGAACAAAAAGCAAGGAGGAGGAAGAGGAGAAGAGTGCCTGTTGAGGCGGAGAGCAGCATTAATAGGACAGTAGTTATGAAGGAAATGACGGTGGACAAAGGCAGTTACCCCAAAAGGAAGGTGATATCGCCGGCCGAGATTACAAGGATGGATGAACGTAAAAGGCCCAGGACGCCCAGGAAAGGAGAGGTCATCTACGCCGAAGCATGTGGGAAAGAAAGAAGGAATCTTGTGATGGACGAGGATTATAATGAGGACTCGGAAGGATGGAGGAGAGTGGCAAGAAGAAAAAGGGAGAGGAGAGCTCCCTTGGCACAGGATATTCCTAGTGTGCATCCGGGCAACAACAGAGAGGTGGTCCCGGAAGGTGAGGGTGTGTCAAGGAACAGGAGAAGCGAAAGTTGAAAAGGGATGTGAGTGGCTGCAAGTTTATAGAAGAATAATGGCGGCCAGGAGCACATTGGAGGGAGCCACGGGGGTCCCTCCAAGGACGAGAGCGGGCCACATTCTGATTGAATTTGACAGGACGAGAGCGGGCCACATTCTGACTGAATTTGACAGGACGGTGGCGGTTAACGAGGTGGCGGCCAGGTGAGGGATAGTACGGAGGTGGCTGCCCTGGTGAATAGGGCGACCCTACAGATCAAAAATATTGATCCCCTCACCAGCAAGGAGGAGCTGGTGGACGATATTAGGGCGCAATGGGGGATTGAGGACAATATTGACATTATTAGGGCGCAATGGAGGATTGAGGACAATATTGACATTGAGGTGAAATCTATAAGGATGGCACCATGGCGGTCGTGGTACTCCCTGCGATCGGAGTTCCCAATGAAGAGAGAGACAGAGTTCGGCTCGTGACGTGGAGGTCGGCGGACGTGTTTTGGATCGTTCCTGCCAACATCATATATTTTCATATATTTTAGTGCATAATGGGACGTGTGTGATCGTATAATAAAATAAAGTGTAACGAGAGCTCCTAATAGTGTTATTGTGGGGTGTGTTTTACATATTTTATATAAGTATAATAAATAACAGAAAATTGTTACGACGAAGAAAACAATAACGTACTATCAAATACTGAAAACGAAGCAGTGGACTATTAGTGGACAATAAGGAGTCGTAGTTACATTATAGTTGTATTATAGTAATTAAATAGGGCATTTTAACCGTATATAATTACTAATATTGTTAAAAGAAACGTAATGGTTAAGTTGAGGTTATAGCGGTTATATTGTCGGTACTAGCTGGGTATATTATGATAAATATGAAGTGATTGAGAAGTTTTTCTGTGGCTACGATGCATAGATAATAAAGAGTAATGCGAGTGGATATAATTATGCGTGGGATGTGAGCCCTCGGCTGAATCGTAGCTGATTTTGAGACAATACCCTATCGTAGTATCGTTGTCGGTTACATGATAACAAATTTGGTTTTGTTTGGGATAAATAAAAATATTTTATCATATAAATGTGCATGTGGAAGGATTATTTATTCGATAAGCAATCCATTTTTAAGGATAAGATGTGCGAAAAAAAGTATTGGGATTTCAGAATTAGTTGGAATACGAAGGCCGACACGGGATAGGTTATGTTTCTCGTAGCGTGTGTAAAATTAAGTAATATTATGATATAATGATAAATAGTTGCCATGTTAAGGATGTAGTTGTTTATTATGGTTAAGCTCGAAGGTTTTAGTGGAGGAAATTCAATATCGGTACGTGCTTGGAGCACGAGTGTTGACGGGTGGTTACCTACAAATAAGAATCAGATGGGCAAGTTTTTAATTATTTAGGTAGTACAAGTGCCTATATGCGTTTAGTTATCTTAAATTTTCAGTGTAAGCATAAGAATGAATGTACTTACTCTTTAAGAGGTAGATTATGCCAACCGATGAGGATGTAGTATAGCGAAGGTGGTTTCGAGACCTGTCAACAAGTATCGAATAATGATTAATACGACAGGGGGTTTACAATAATTATATTACAATAATTATATTAAGTTGACATTGAGATGGATTCCTCTAGCCTAGACTGTGTAGCTATTTATACTTATAGTAAGTTACTTCTCTAGATTAAGTGTCTTTTACTTATAAAGATGGCTACGTTAAGTGGTTTGTATTTTATATCATAAGTAATTGAGAGGAACTTAATTGTTTCTATGATGTGTCTTTTACTTATAAAGATGGCTACGTTAAGTAGTTTGTATTTTATATCATAAGTAATTGAGAGGAACTTAACTGTTTCTATGAAGCAGAGTGTACACTGCGAAGGAGGTGGCGATACCTAAAATAGTTAAAACGAGGATTATGGTGATAGGTTGCTACCTTACTTTTATTAAGTTAATATGAAATAGTGTTTTATAAGGTTAGCTGGTAGCTATTTATATATGCGATGGATTATTTACTAGATAAGTGTTTTGGTTTTACTTACAACGACTGGCTAGTTTTAAGTGTTTGTATTCTTGTTTGTTATAAGCGAATGAGAGGGATGAACCTGTTATGCGAGGTAGAGATTGTGTTGCGAAGGAGGAGGCGATATCTGAAATAGTCAAAAGAGGTTTATTGTGATAGATGACTACCCTATTTATATTAACTGACATTAATGGACTTTAAGATCGTGTTTTGTAGGTTGTTGCAGCTATTTTTATATATGTGACAGAGTAATTTGTAGATTGTGAGCTGTTAGTTTTACTTACAAAGACTGCCTAGTTTTAAGTGTTATTGTATTCTTATGTATTATAAGTGAATGAGAGGGGTGGACCGGTATATGAGGTTGAGTGTATACTGCCAAGGAGATTGCGATACCTGAAATAAGGTGTAATGAGGATTAGTGCGATAGGTGGCTACCCTAGTTATATTAATTGACAGGAAATCATGTTATAAGGTTAGGTAGTAGCTATTTATATATGCGAG